CCCCCACCACCGCCACTCTCCGGGCACACAGTTCCCCACAGTGTACCGCCCTCCTCGTTTGCCAGACCTGGCTCTCTCTCCCCGCCACACGCCACACTGGACACACAGGCTGACCTCACACATGCGCTGGACACACTAGTCTCTGTCGTAGGAACACAGTCGTCTGAACTAGTGGGGACCTGTGCACGGTTCGTGGGATGTGTGGGGACCTGTGCATGGTTCGTGGCTGACGAGGAACTGGCCACAGGGTTGTCGGGGAGAGGAGAGCTGAGGGAACACAGCAGGGGGGATGACTCGTCCACAGGAAGTAGGCGGTCATCCACGCTGGTCCTCATGCTGTGGCTGTTGGTGAGATTGCTGTTGCTGCTGTTGTTGTTGCTGCTGTTGTTGTTGCTGCTGTTGTTGCTGCTGCTGTTGTTGGTCCCATGAGGCTCAAAGAAGTCCTTGTCCAGCTCCACTTCCACCATCTGCGACAACAACCACATTTAGAATACTTTAGTTTTAGTAGAGGCTTTACCGTGCTCGCAGCTGCATAAAGGTCATATGAGCGCCAGAAGATTAGGTGTTACAAGAGAGTAACAAACATTAAAAAGAAAAAAGGGAGATAAGGACGATAGATGTTTGATAGGAGAAGAAGCAAACCACACGAGAGCACCCGCCAACCACCCACTTATAATACCTTACATAAACACACAACATACACCATAATAAACACACACAACATACACGATAAACACACACACAACACACACCGCCAAGTAATTCGTCCCTCTAAACACGTACTAGCGTAAGCCACATCTGACCCGAAATCGAGTTATAGCAATCACGCGATTCCCTTTATCTGATACTACATCCTCTCAAAAGATGGTAGGGATCGAGCAATAAATAGCTGAGATACAGTCGATTCCAGTTTGAACGTATCCCACTTGCCCACAAAAAGATACAGCACGTACTAACACACTGTTGGTTACGCTAGTGCGTGACGTACACTTTGACCCATTGTTGTATTTTTATTATACGGCACATACTAACGTAAGCCACACGGCCGGGGCAGACCCTATGGCAATAAAACATCGCATAGCGCTTCTAGAGCTAAACTACACACGTGTGCAGTGTGCTTCGTGTGAGACGGTGAAGGCTCAGATTCCTCTTCTAGAAGTCCCTTTTTACTCGTCCTCTGTTTACAAATGGGATCCCGCTCTGAACAACCACTCTTTCTTTGACATGTAGCCCTACTGTTCAAACTCTGATTGACATTCAGAACCCTGGTGAAGTCTTAAGCTTACAGACTGCAGAAAGTCATGGGCGTCCTACTGCCACTGAGAACTTTAAAGGACAAATAGATGCACGTATGTGCTTCAAGGACACTGACATGCTTAGTGAGGCAGACAGTGATGAAATGTCAGTGTGTGGCTACGACTCATTTGGCGACCCGGAATTCAATCCTGGAACATGCGAGGTCAAAAGGTGCAATGCTGAAGTATGGGTGGCTTGTCCTGAATGTGAAATCCTTCTTTGCTTTGATCATATCAATGAAGAGATCATCGTGAGTTCAACATGAAAACAGCAGAAGAAGGTCAAAGGAAAAAATGAACAACATGTAAAAGCTGTAGGTAGGCCCTCACAGTCTAAGATTCCCGCTGGTGTGAATGTGAACACTGATGCTTCCGATCAGTTTCAGACAAAGGAAACAGTCGTTGATGAGGGGGGGGGGGGGAATGCAAAGATCAGTTCCCGAGCAGTACACGGTGGAGGGGAGTGAGAAAGAAGTCAGAAAGGAAAAGAAACTCAGATCAAACAATCAGAAGGAAGCCAAAATGAAGAGGAATTTGGGACAAGAGTTCACAAGCATGTTCCACATGTTCATCCAGGAATGGATACCCAGGACAAGACCATCAAGCTTAACTACATAAAACGATGTACGCTATTTAAAAGTAAAAATCCACCAGTCCAAGAAAGACCAGTGCTCTCTTTGTGTTAATTATCACCAAGGAAATTAAGAAACAAAGATAGGTCTTAAGGAAAGGATCTACGCAAGAAAGAAGCTCAGGAAAGTGAAAACATTCTCTGTGCAAGTTTTGATTTGCAGCAGGTCATTTATCTCCCTATGTCTCAGGACAGAGCCATCTTTTACAAAAGATGATTGTCGAACTACAATCTGACTTTCTATAACATTGCTAACAGAGATTGTCACTGCTTCACTTGGGATGAAACGTGAACCCTCGGAAATTTCAACTACAGTCCACCGTGCCCTGAAATTTTATGACGACCGTGGCATGAAAAAAGTTTTTCTTTTTGCCCATGGATGCAGTGGTCGGAACAAAAATTCTATGATGCCTTCGATGATGTTGTAAACTGTGAGCAATAGTGTGAATCTTGAAGAGATTTCATTGAGGTTCTCTGAAACAAACCATGGTCAGAACGAGGGTGATTCTGCACACAGTGCAATAGGACATGCCCTGAAGAGGGCTGGGGATTTGTTCCTTCCTTTTCAGATAGTAACAGTGATGTCTCTCGCTCGATCTCAAAAGCCTCACCTGGTGAATCAGATGCAGTCTAAAGACTTTCTGGATCTCAAAGGCTTATCAAAGGACTTGAGAATCCTGGACACACGATCTGATACGGAAGACACACTTTCGTGGAACAATATCATGGAACTGCGAGTCACTAAAGAACAGCCAGATAAAGTCTTCTACAAGATGAGCCACTTTGACTGTTCATTCAAAAGCCTGTCCCTCAAGAGACTGAAGAATAGTGTAAAGGACTGTGCACTTCAGAAACTGAACTCAGGACCAACAAACATTTCGAGAGAAAGATTCACTGATTTGGTTTCACTCTGTTCTGGTCCCACACCAGTAATTAAACTGGAAGAGCACAAAGCATTTGATCTCTCCTTACCCCATGAATAGTTGGCTGTGAAGATCTCCTTTGGGCTGAAGCTATTCTACTTTGTTCGCTAAGGTGCATCTCCAGTTTAAGTATATGGCAGTCAAGTAATGACACAAAATGTATTTAATTTCACATTTTCTTCTTTATTTCTGAGTTACTGCTTATTATTAGTCTTTGAAATATGTCATTGAATTTACATCTGTACAGCAAGATCATGTTCCCAATAAGCCTAAGTGGAGCTCTAACTCTAGCAGAAATGTTCCCTGAATTCTTTATTGTTTGTTTTTGCAAATTGGAACATTTAGTGAGCACATACTAGCTCAAGTTTTTGTAGCTTGTTTTGTTTTGAGTAAAGTACTGCTTCCCATATTAAACAGGATAGTGTTTCACAAATGTGAGTAGGTACATAATAATAACATTTTCTGTAAAGAATAGTCCATAATGAAACGTTTGTTTAAGCAGTAGATAGCTGCAGTGATTATTTCATTTTAAGTTGATTGTTGTATCATGTACAGTTGGCGTCTGTATATTCCGAGTTGTTGTGAAGTTACGGTTCATACAACCTGTGAATTTTTCACCAAATCTTTCTTGGTATTTTTGTTGTTCTTTGGAAGTTACAATTTCAGCGTAAGCCACGCAATCAACGCATTATGCTTTAGAATACAAAAGCACGTACTAACGTATCCAACAATCTAGTAACGTAAGCCACACATTGAGGCTTTCATTGACGTAGCACGTAGTAGCGTATCAGACAAAAAGTTAATTTTTCCTTCAAAACCTACTATCCTCACAAGATGCTTCTAGCCAATTGAAAAGTAGTTGGCCCCCACATGTTATGTCAAAATATTAAGGGCAGGGTCAGATATTTGACGCCACAATGGGATGGTGAAAATCGCCCAAATCTTTAAACGTCTCTCCTGCAAAACTAACAAAATGTGGCTTACGCTAGCACGTGTTTTGAGGGACGAATTTAGAGAATATCCCAAGTCGGAATGTCAAATCAATACTACTTCCATTACAATTGAAATAACAAGTGCCAGCAAAGTTCCAACACAACCTGGGGGGAGTCAACTACTACATCCGGCACCGATTTCCTACTGATAAAAAGTTCAACGGGTGCTTCCCGCGACAGAGAAGAAGGCAGAACAAGTTTTTCGACAAATCCACAGAACCAGACGGAACACAACAATCAGTGGGATGCTTGAGATTTGGGGCTCAAAAAACATCAGGACATCCCAATTCAATGGAGACGAGGGGCAGGTCTGGGAAAACATAACATTTTACATCTTCAAAGCGTTTTTGCAACAAGGGGTGAGATTGCGTATAAATTTGTTCTTCAATGTGAAAACGGCGACTAATTGAGGCAGCGTGCCGAAATCTGGCGCTCATCATAATAAATCATTATAATGTGAGAAAAAACACAGCATTTTTCTTGCTGTTGGGCAATTTTCCTAAATTTTCTTTGTCGGCCTCAAGACTTTCAATGTCCATTGACCCATCACGTTGTGACACACACAATAGATGTGTCCATTGACCCATCACGTTGTGACACACACAATAGATGTGTCCATTGACCCATCACGTTGTGACACACACAATAGATGTGTCCCTGATTCCATCGCGTTGTGACACACACAATAGATGTGTCCCTGATTCCATCGCGTTGTGACACAATAGATGTGTCCCTGATTCCATCA